GACACGAAAAGTGCAAAAACGCATGATCGTACCGGCCCACCTGGTGCGTTCCAGCCTCGGTTAATTTATAAAATCGAACTGATGGCGCTCGACCAAGTTACCTTTGGCACATGGACGTTATAGTATATTAGATCTCTAAACCAGAAATTTGCACATTAATGTCGAATAGACTATTGCGGAAGCTTTCAGAGCTTTACTGGCAGATAATTATCGTTGAATGAAGTCCCAGTTACTCAGTTTTAAATACTTCTGCCTGTGACTGAATGAGAAAAACGAGTCAAACTAGCTATTTTAATGTTAACAAAAATCGCTTGGACATAGAGCATGGAAACTAATAGCAGCGAAATTTTTTCCAGCATCGTAGGTGTGAAATAATACTTTTGACTGTTCGGACGCCACCGGACAATGGCCTATGTACGCCGCATACTATAGGCGGATCCAGAAGAAAGGGGAAGAGAGCAGTAGATCTTCCGCCTCCCTTCCCCTCCTCCCAGCGGTCAGGTAGCAGTGCTAAAACTGTAGAAAACTCTCTTTCGCATCCCGGTCGCTCTCCCTCCCCCCCTCCCCCCCTCCTACGGGCTCCACTCCCTCCCTCTCAGTCCCCTCTTCCGGAAGGGCCGCCCTGAATTTGCCCATGCCGCATATGGACAACTTTGATGAGGAAGTTCTAGCATAGCTGCTTGTTTCCTGGTAGCTGCACCTCAGTAGCATTGGAATTTACACACCGATAATGTGGGCAGTCTTGATGGCCTTGAAAAACTGTAGTTGTCAGGCATCAAAAGAAAACTGCTCACTAAAGTGTGCTTTGTAGATTGATCGAAACTAATCTGACCAAAAACAATGCTTCATCGATCCTATTCTCAGAACTGGTGCATGATCGTTCACGAGCTTTCGTAGCAAAAACATTCAGCAGTATGCTCGGTATGGTACTTTTGAGAGAAATGTTTCACGTACAGATTTCTAAAACAAATAATTTTTCAAGAAAGCTCGAAACAGATAAATAAACCGCTAGCTGCCAGCTTTCTAACTGCTTTTTTATACATTTCTGTTTCAGGGATAGAGCCATTCTAAGAAAATATGTTTCTCTGAAGGAGGGCGAAAT